TAACAAAATTTTAGATGACCTATGAGAACCAGATCATAACAACATGTTTTGACCAATGAAAGATTCCCAAGATATTATATATAAACAATATGTACTGTATTTGTAAAACCAGTTGATATTATTTGGATCGTCTGGCAATCTGGGGGAAGCATGTCTTTAGTAACATTTATCTATAAGCCTACCCGAGTTACAGGCAAACATCTTTAAAAATCCAAAATGCCAAAATGAAAAAAATGCAAACAAAACATCTGTATGTGTTGTAACAAATTGGACAGACAGACAGACACACACACAGACAACTTTTTATAAGCCAGAGTGCACTCAGATGTATTTGGCCAAGTTGAATTATAATAACTTTTATAATTTTTAGGTTTGCAATTATAAAAGACTAGTCAGAACTCTGTAGATCAATTAACAGAGATCTCTTGTACTAAGAATCAAAAGGAATAAAAATCTTCTCTATACCTGTGAAAGCAAGAACAGTTCTAAGATGGTCCCTAAACTGACAGATTATCTGACTGAATACCCAACTACACAGGCTTTGAGAGTTTCAAGATTAAGCCTAGACCAGTTTTCCACATAGCCCAGAAATAAGTGATGGTCAGTTTTACTCTGGAAAGATTCTAGAAAGGGAAACTCACCATTCTGGAGGCTTTGTCTTGAAATCCAGCAGCCACAGAGGAGGAAAGTGCCTTGAACTAAATACTATTGAGAACTGTGTAATTTTTCAGGGAAGAGGCTGTGGAGAAGGGACAAGAATTCTTGCATGAGGCAAGATTATAGTTTAGAATATCTTTAAAATTTAGATATTATCTGATTTCACCTTAATTCCAATTCCAGATTCTCCCTAAGTCTACATCAAGCTAGCAAAGTAACCTGGGTATAGAGCAATTATTGGAGAACTAGTTTTTTTGTTGCTATTTTTTGGGGGGAGGTTGTTTTGTTTTGTTTTGAGATCAGGTGGACTTTGGTTTAAATTCAGTTTCCTCCTTTGCATTCTACTCCTAGATCCTTGAGTAAACGATAACATTGTTATGGGCCTCTGTTCCCTTATTTGTAAATGAGGGTCAGACCAGTCTTATAGGCTCACTGGGAGGATTATAAGAGGTAATATCATGTTCTATCTAACCATGTTCAGGAAAAACGTGGTGAGCCCAGAAGTCCAGGACCTAATCGTGTAAGTGTTGGCTCCCTTCCCTCCTACTTCCTAACCACCCCCTTCCTCAAGTCTCCCCTAATGTAGACTGATGATTATTTTACCTTTGGGGAGCCAGAGATAATTTTTTTTTAACTCTAAGACCTCTGTAATGAAAAAAAGTTATTTCTGTGAGTATAGGGGATTTGAAAAGATACTAGCAGAGCCCATAAAACCAAGAGAATTCTTGTGGAGTAGGATTTGGTAAAATAACTTTTGTCTTCCTATGGCCCACACTGATGATGTTGGTATTCCCTGGATTGACATAAGACTATCACCGGCAGGTAAGTCAGCCCCAGCGTGGAGTCTCATCCTTAAACTGGGAAGGTTATTCTGACATCTTTGCATAAGAGATGTTGGGAAGAGGAGGAAGGGGACAGAGAATAATCATCACTGTCCCCAGTAGTGTCAGTCCAAGAGGAGACTCATTAGTTGGCACCAGAACTCCAGGAATCCCCCTGGTCTCAGGGCTTCAGCTGCTGTTCTTTCTGACCAGTTTGCTTATTTCAGAGCCTGGTGCATAGCATAGCTACAGGGTAGTTTCAGTTCTCACCTTCTGCTCCCCAGAGCTTAGTCCCTGCACAGCTAGGGAAGGATCTACTCCCTCCTTTCTTATAATCCTCTCTGTTAGCCTTAACTGTGCTGCAGGGTTTTGTTTTTGTCTTTTGCTTATTTGTTTTAGCATGACACTCCTCTCTCTCTGACTTTTGTTTTTAATTGGCCAGGTATGGGAACATTTTTGTTAATTGCTTATTCATCCTCTATTTGTCTAGTTTGTTTGTTTGTTTGTTTTTTTGTTTTTGTTTTTTTTTTGGTACCAGGGATTGAACTTGGGCCCTTGCACTTGCAAAGCAGGCAGCAGAACCACTGAGCCAAATCCCTGGCCCATGACATGCCTCACTTGATGTGAAGTCTTAAGAGTAGGAACCAGGTCTTACTCATCTTCATATCTCTAGCACCTGGCACAAGGTAGCAGCTCAATGAGTGTTGAATAAATGAAGTAGAAAGAGTACTGGACAGGGAAGCAGGAGATGTGAATTTGAAGACTGACTCTTGCATTAGCTAAATGTGACTTTGGGAAAATCACTTCATCTTTTAGGGCTTCAGTTTCCACCTCTATGAAATAAAATCATGGGTTTAATAACCTCTGAGATCCTTTTAATTCTGCTGCTCTGTGAATCAGCGAGGTTCTCAGATTTTCTCACTACCCACTTGTATAGCAAACTCTACTACCTGGCACCATCTGACAGCGTGGTATTCAGATTTAAGTATGGGTGCTTGGAGCTGGGTGTGCAGCTTAGTGGTAGAATTTACTTGCCTACTGCTTGCTTACCATTTCAGGCATGCACAAGGCCCTAAATTCAATCCCCATGCCACAAATTAAATAAAGTAGACTAACATATATTCTGCAAGGTTAAAAAGCCATATGGATGATGTTTAGGGTCCTGGCTTTCAAAGAATTAGAATGGAAGAGAATAGAATTATCAGTAAAGTTATTATATTTTGGGCATATTTTTCCCTCTTTTGGATAAAAAAAAGGTTCAGAATTATTTTTGAAGCTTCAAGGTCATCATGTAGACATAGCAGAATTTTCAGTTATGCTGACAAACTTCTATAATCTATGCTAATAAGTATAATACCTGCCAGCACCCGTGTCTACTGAGCACTTGAATGTGGCTGGTATGATTAAGCAATTGAATTGTAAGTTTTATTTCATTTTAATTAAATAGTCAAACACTGGTGACTACTATTTGGATAGTGCAGCTGCAGAGCCATGAAGACAACCCCCCCATTTTGTTCAAAATTAAGTAGTAGTGCCTAGAACAGTGTCTGATACATGGTAGGTGCCCAAGAAATGCCATGTTTCTGTAGACGTTCAGCAGTGCCTGTTAAAAGAAGGCCAGTGAAGAAGAGGCTCCACAACTGACCATTCATTGGTCCAAGTTGGGGAGACCTACATACTTATAAGGAGCCATTCACCAGCTAACTAGGGCTGGTAAAAACATAACCAACTATGCTGTCTTTCCTAATTATGCCAACATATGTCCAGTTTGGGGCCACAGAGCCAACAAAGATTGGAGAAGAACTAGAGAAGTTCCACTGTTATTATACCTGAGAGCAACTTTGTCTATGTGACCAGTAATGACTTCTCTCAGTTCTGTCAGGGGAGGAGCAAACAGGCCTCTGATACAGCTTGCATAGTTAAATTCCAATATGGACATTATGGAGGCATTGCGGAGACGTTATACCATCTTCTTTCCTGGGCATCTTTAAAAATGGAGATGATTTTCATTTGCCTGGAAGAAAGCTCCTGAAAATATAGGTGCACATTATGACCTTTACAGAGAAGTCAATGGCTCCAGCATGGTGCTCTGCCAGGCCAGGCCAGACCAGGCAAGGCGGGGCAGTGGCACCGGATGCTACCCAGGGGTAGAGCACAGCTGTTCGTAAACTCAGCCAAGAGCACACTGACAATGTTACCCCTAGAGGGTGAGAGAATTCCAGAGCTGCAAAGGGCCTCTAGATCATCACCAAACCCTTCATTTTACAGGTGAAGAAACTGGGACTCAGAGAGAAGAGTTGCTTACTAATTAGTGACAGGTCCAGGACTAGAACTCAGATTTCCACGATCCTAATCCAGGTCTTTTCTCACACCATAACACCAACAAACATTAGCAAAATAGCATACAAGCCTATTCTAGAAACTGGATGCAAAACTGGTAGGTAAATTATCTGTCTTCTAGGTGTTTAATATTCAAGACACCGGCTCACAGAGAAGCAAACAGAAAATGAGCAATTAACAGAATAAGATCAATGTGTGATAAAAAATGATTACATTGTGTACAAGCCAAAGATAGGTGCACAGGAAACTGGGGCTAAGCACTCGATATGGGAGAGTAAGAGATTCTGACTTGTCACCTTTTCTAACCGAAGTGTGTTTCCCAGAAAGAAATTTGAGAATCATAGCATAAGGGAATTTAATATCACTCAAAAAAAGAGAGGTAGTCAAATATGATGAAAGGTGGACAAGAAAACAATTCAAGTGGTTAGAAACACCTCTGCTTCTTAACATTGAGAAATGGCAGCATCAACATATGACAAAGAGAAACACCAGCAGGAAAATAGTAGAAGCTGATAAGGCAAGTGGAAGATAATTTTCTCTGGGCTTGAGCCAGGGCTGTCAGCATTGGACTCGCCAGCACTGTTGCTGGAAGGGAATGTGCTTTGCGGGGAGAGGAGTGAGGCTGGTAGGATCATGGGAAGGCTGTGTAGAAGTTGTGCCCACCAGCTATACTGTGCTTCTACTAAGGCAGGAAACCACCAGAATTTAGCACCAAGGTAAGGGCACGGTTCTTTGACTGATTCAAAGGAGAAATGACAAGCATTTTAGGGTTGCCTCTCCCTTCAGGAGGAAAATTAAGTCTAGATTTGAGATAGAAGTTTTCAAGAACCTAAATTATAGAGGTTTGTGCGAGTTGTCATCTTAAACAGGCTATTTATAGTCCCCAGTAGTATACCCAGTGAGGAGACCTAGAAACTATCCATTTTCTCTCTTTCACCAACCTCTGAGATATTTCTTGAAGCGTATCTTATTCATTTGGCTGTTTGGTTCAGCACCCTGTGCAGTGAATGTAACACCCTGAACTGAAAGATGAATGTCAGTCATAAGTCCCTGCCCAGGATGAATGTGATTAAAGGGAACCCCACTCCTTCTCTCCATCTGCACCTGCTGGAGTCAAGGGGTGTTTCTTTACCTTGGCCAAGTGAGGCCTTCTGACTCTCAAAGGGCTTCACTCTTTCTCAGCTCTTTGCTATTTTCGCCTTCGGGTCCTGCGGCTCCTACAGCGGGGAGACAGGAGCAATGGTTCGCTGCAACAACGAAGCCAAGGACGTGGGCTCCATCATTGTTTTGTTCGGCTATCCCTTCAGGTGAGCAGGAATTGGGTCTGGTCCAGCACAGCCTCTCTCACTAGACTAGCAGGACCTGCTTGGTCTCATTCTCCTGCAGAAATCTAAAGACTATTTGTTATGTGCTGCTCCAGATTCAAATAGAATTAAAAGACTTGGGTCCTTTCTGCCTTTTAGCAATTTCAGACACAATGGCCAGAGGGGGGAAGAATAGGACAAACGCAAATCATTATGATGATGCTCCAGTCCATGGCCAACCAATGGCACATCATAGCAGCTCCCACTGAGAGGACTCACGCATTGGGGATGAAGGTTTATAGGAGTATGAGCAAGTTGGGCAGCTCTCTCTCTGACCCTCTGCAGCATCCTTTGTATCCTAAAATAAGAAAGTTGATTAGTACTTACATCTAATGTGTTGAGCCAGGCATGGTGGCGCACGCCTGGAATCCCAGCACTCGGGAGGCTGAGGCAGGAGGATCAGTGTGAGTTCAAGACCAGTCTGGGCTACATAGTGGGTTCCAGGTCAGGCTCAACTACATAGTGAGACCCTGTCTCAAAAACAAAACAAACAAACAAAAAGAGTAGATGTGGGGTGCTTGTCTGGTATCTCCAGACTACCAAGAGGCACATCTTGACCAGAAAATAGAAGAGACTACAGAATATCTGGGAGCCAAGGATGGGGAAGCCTATGTTTAAAGGAGAATGGAGATAGAGTTTACCCCTTTAGTATCAATGCCCAAACTAAATAAGTGTTTCTTGTCTGTACTGGTCTCTTTATTTTGTCCAATATAGTCAAACTGGAAATTCTAAATAAGGCCTCAAAATGAGTGCTTCCAACCTTAACTTGATCACTGTGAGTCTATGCTTTCCCAGGGGAAGACAGATGATTTGCTTAGTGGTTTGTTCACCAGAAATAGATAAACTATACATACTGTGGTTGAGACCTAAAGGACTCTGGAGATGCTTGGAAATACATGGTCACCAGGTCTAGGTGGATGAGTTTAGGGTTGCAAATGAGGGAGGTGATGTTTGAATGGACTCTTCATGAAGCTCCTATCTTTTTTTTTTTTTTTTTTTTTTTTTTTTTC